TTACCTAAACATTCTGCTCTTCTGTATTACAATAAATACTTCATGAAATATATTTGTTTGAAATACCCACCAAATCTAAACATCTGTCTGACATTCATATAGTTTTATTTAAAAAATTAAAACTTGAGTCTCACCAGTTGCTCAGTTTCAGATGATTTCTGATGAGAAACATCTAAAACAAAACAGACACATGAGGTAAATGCAGCAAAACAACAACAGTAAGGCATAACAATGAAAAACACAAAACAAACTGGTCATTATATATTACTAATAAATGTAGCCCAGTAAAACATCTAAAGCACAGATAATACATTTTAAAAATACTCTAGAAAGTACAAATCCACCGAGACGTTACTGGAGTAAATGTAACTGAGCAAATTAAGATGATTACTACTCTCTCTGAACTACACAGACTGACGGACTGTGTTCAGTTTCATTGTTGTATTTTTCAGTGCGCTGACCCTGCTGCGCTGTGATCAGTGCGCTGACCCTGCTGCGCTGTTGCTCAGTGTGCTGACCCTGCTGCGCTGTGATCAGTGCGCTGACCCTGCTGCGCTGTGATCAGATCAGTGCGCTGACCCTGCTGCGCTGTTGATCAGTGCGCTGACCCTGCTGCGCTGTGATCAGTGCGCTGACCCTGCTGCGCTGTGATCAGTGCGCTGACCCTGCTGCGCTGTTGATCAGTGCGCTGACCCTGCTGCGCTGTTGATCAGTGCGCTGACCCTGCTGCGCTGTTGATCAGTGCGCTGACCCTGCTGCGCTGTGATCAGTGCGCTGACCCTGCTGCACTGTGATCAGTCTTAGATTTATTTCTGAGGCAGTCTTTCATTTGGAGCGCGTGCTAAGCGGCATCTGACGCAGCCGCGAGGCGTAAACAGACACGCCCCTTAGCCGCTAGCTAGCTACATACGCTAACCTAACGCTGGTGTCTTCACTCGGCAGATCGACCCAGAAATAACGTTACAGAAATTAAAGTTTACTCCAGCTGACTGTCAGTGAGGCTGCTTCTCATTTTGTCCCTACTCACCTTTTAAAAGCAGAGTCTGACCGCTGCAGTCGGGACTCCAGTCGCCACTCCACTCGGTCCAGTCAGTTAACTTTAGTCAGCTACGCAGCTGAAACTCCTCGTTTGTGGAGCTGAAAGCGTCACCCGGCAGGCGGCGCTGTCTCAGTAAGGAGTGTAAGAGACTGTCTTATCGAGGATTAACACTCGCTAAACAAACTCGATAAACTGCCCGCGGTAGCGACCTGAGAGACTCGCTCACTGTAACGGCTGTAACGGTCGCGCTCGGCTTCAAACGGAGGAACGGCGGAGAGCGCTCGCGCTTCAAAACCGAACGTCCCAGCGGCGGAGTCCCGCGCTCTGATTGGTCTAAACTCCCGCCAGTCTTTTGTTTGACCTCCCATAGATCTTTTTCCGGTTCGCGCCTCTCTGTACTGAATGAACTGAGCTGTTCTGTTTTTGTTTGTTTGTTTTTTTAATCTAGACACAGAATAGAAAACTGCAAACTCTTGAAATACACGAGACAGCTGTGCAGCATTATCATACAGCATCACTGGAGGCCATGTCTTAATATATTAAAGTCAAAGTATGAAGTTGGACATTTAAACAAAAATCTGTTTATTATGTAATTGTATGTAACGAGACAATTACTACCCACATACATCTGTTTGTGTTTTCCAAATACCTGGAGTTAATAATTTTGAAAGTTATACATGGTATATAAAAAGTTTTTTCTTTTTCTGTTGGGCCAAATTAAAAGTCCTAATGGTCTAACTGTGGGCAGCCCTGCTCTGCTTAAGAAAATAAACAGGAGTGTAGATGTTGGAGAGAGTAAACCAAGGGCTTTTTCTGCATTAAGTTTTGGTGGTATGAGATCTCTAAAGTACTCAGGTTAGCTGTTAAGTACATTTACTTCCTATTAGCTCAAAGTTGTTTTATCTTGGTTCCTAGCTTGTTGTCTCTGGTTACAATTGTACATTTGAAAATAGATCAATGTTGTGTTAATCATAGCATGCTTTCTGCAAATGAGCCAAAGGCTGTGACTGACTGTGATTGTAACATTTACCAATGGAGATAAATCAAAAGTTATTCTACCATGAACTTCACTGATATAAGGAAATGAGTTTAAACATTTTAAGGTAAGGTAATTGTTTAAGAATTGAATGACTGTAAACACATTTCTGCAATAATCAAAAAACAAAACATACAAAAAAAAAAGAATCACAAAAGTACAGCAAGTAAAACCTTAGTGAATGTTCTTTTAGCAATATCACACAAAAACCATAAGATTACAGCAGGCTGTTTCTTGAGGACATACTTATATTCTCTCTTATATAGTTATATTCTCATTATATTCTACATTAGGCAGTGCTGTGGTAATCCTGGTAATCCTCAGTAGTAATTTTCAGTTTGGCAGTACCACAGGAATATCACACTCATACCACAGGACTTTTGGTAATGGACCACTCTTTGGACTCAACTGAACTGTCTTAAGACACAACATCTCTGCGTCTTAAGACAAAGTGATGTCTTAAGTCATGCCTCGTCTTCAAGACACACAAAATAATTACTTCTTTGTCTTAAGACGTTAACTTTCATGTCTCAAGACAAAGATCGTGTCTTCACTCATACGTCTTAAGACGTTCTTGAGATGTCTTGGCATAAGAAAATGTCTCAAGACATCTTATAAATATTGTCAAGACATCTTAAGACACAGTGACAGCTGGGTATGTAGTATAGACTAAAAAATATAATAAAACGAAAACACAGACTTACTTTGCTCCGCTTTAAGCTTTAGCACAGTTACAATCTCTTTTCTCACATCTCCAGCAGGAAACTTTTAGGCAGAAGTAGAACAGTTCCTTGTAAAATGTCTCTCAACGTTCAGTTTTTTAACGAGACTGAAGTCAGCTTGTCTTTGGCCAGCTTCTTGTTTGAATTTTCCCATTCCTTAAAGGGTGCCTGCATTGCCAGATTGAAACTGCTGCACCGTTGAAGGTGGAACAGGACAATGCAAACAAGAAGCCAGAAAATGAGACACTGACTGCAGCCTCATGACTTTTTAGTGTTTGTGTCTCGCTGCAGATTAAATGTATCAGGAAACCAGCTGGAGTGATTATAAATGCAAATAAGTCTATTCATCTCCAAATTATCGATGTTCATCTTAAATCTCTCTCTTCACATTTTCATTGGCTACTAGCTAGGCGAGATTGTTATCTGCATAGGGTTAAAGGGTGAATCAGCAGTTCTACATTAACTCCAGAGTTTAAGACCATTTATTGTTAAACTGTGTTGAACGATCAGCAGAGCTTTATTTTACTGTAAAGGAGGATTATTTTATTTTTACCTACAAATCTAATTCAGCTGTGGAGCCACAACAGGGCAGCAAAAGAGCTGCATGCGGCTCCAGAGTTGTGTGTTTCCAACCGCTGGTGTAGGACATTGACCGCTGGTGTAGGACATTGACCGCTGGTGTAGCTGGTGTTGGTTTAACATTTCCATCAATGCCTGTGTTCAGGGTATCAGTACAAGGTCTTGATCCACAAACTCTGTGTAAATGTCCAGATGAGCTGTGTGGTACTGTACTGCTCATAACCCTCATAACCACAAGTTCCACCATGCAATCACCGGATCAGGTGGCAGTTCAATTTGTCCCATACTTTTTCCTTTTTGTCTTTTCTTTGATGGTTTGCCGAAATGCATAGTTAGCAACTGGGGCAATGCTTGATGACCATTTTGACATAGCTTACCAACTCAACGACTCTAGATGACCAGAGAAATAAGGTGTGCATTGCATAAGATATGCACTAAATTTGGCATGAGATCTTGCAGGACAGATTTGTAGGACTTTATCACATAGGTTACTTTGTCAGTAATGAAAGCAAACCTTAAAATCTGCACTTTATTATGTGAGAGTTTTAATTATGGCTTGTGAAACTGTGGTATTGTAAACCCAATCAGCCAGCACAGCGTTTAGAGCTCTACTCCTAACATCCTCATCTTTGTCCAACATGAAACTGAAAATAACCTGCAAAACATACTTGACCTCTTCACTGGTAAACTCATCCGAAATTACTCAAAAAGAATCACATGAATTTGTGAGTGACTTCACTTCTTCAAACTGTGTCTAAAAGACCTGGGAAAGTAGTCCTGTCTGAGTTTATTTGCTCTTGGTAAACCTCCTGTGATTTTGACATTGTGTTGAAGGTCTCTTAGTTTGGTGTGATCAAGCTTTTTCAGTGGAACGTTTACGTTGGCGAGTTCCACAGTTGCCAAATAGTGAGCCTCTGTGCTCTCAGTTCTTTTCTTCAACATTAATCATCTTTTTCTTCTTGGCTCCCTCTTGTGGCTCTTTTCCAACAGCCCTCTTTTTGTGAAGATCAGTTTTACTCTCCAAGTGGTGCTGAACCGTTGCTCGCTGGGTGTAATCTAACAAGACACAACAACTAGTACAAAATAATTTACCATCATCAGCGGGTAAAACATTTTGTTCAAACTCATTTACTCTGTTCTCTGAAGTAGTGTTGTTTTTTTGCTACTTTAGACATCTTGGACATCATGACTAACCCATTGCTAACTCATATGCTTGCTGTAGGATTGCTAAGAATGCTTCATAGTACATATTAACCACTGAACATGAGGCATTTCAGTGCTTTGTGAATCAAAATTGTCAAATCACTAAACACAAACCCACCTCAAGTCTTGAATTTCACAGGAAATTGTCTATTACACAGGAATTGGCTCATTTTGTGACTCGATTTTCACGACTGTGAATTTGGTAGGGCCCTAGTGATAAAGAATGCTGGTGTTCATTTTCCTTGTGTCTTCATTGGAGGACTACAGTAGAGTCGCCCTGGACAAAGCCAGTTTGGAGTTTAGACCTGGATTCTCTGTAAAGCTGCTTTGTGAAAGTACTTGTGGTAAAACAGAACTATAAAAATAAACCTTGAATTGAATTGAAATATGAACTGTTTGTGGATGTTGTCTCTCTCTGCAGAGCATCCACACACTACGAATTTAAGCTCTGTGTCCAACGTGTGGTCAGAAGGTCAGATGATGAAGCTGAAGTGTGAGATTAAGAATACAGGACCGGTGCAGAATCTTACTGTACAGTGGACCAAAGTGGACCAGAATAAAAACAGAACAGTCACTGAAATGTCATATGGAAACTTCAGTATTTCTAAAAAACAGAAAGGGAGCGTGGATGTGACGGCCACACTGGAGGTCCTAGCCAGCCGTGATGAAGATGGAGTCCAGTATCAGTGTGCAGCTCTACTGAAGCTGGAGCAGCTCCAACAACCACAAGTGGGAACATCAGAACCTCTGAAAATTACAGTACACTGTGAGTTTATTACACCTGTGAACAGAACTGTAGCCTGGAGTTCAATCCCCTGCCTAGGCAAGTGCCCTACACTATACCAATAAGAGTCCTTGGGCAAGACTCCTAACACTACCTTCACCTACATGTAGAAAATGATCAAACTGTAAGTCGCTCTGGCTAAGAGCGTCTGCCAAAAGCTGAAAATGTTCAACAGAAAACAGCACAAAGAAGAAATGTTAGATTTTATATCTACATATTTCAGTTAGTTTTTTCCAGTCAGGCAAATCCAGGACTCTAATACTACATCATTATATGCTGTAAAAGGTTTGCGTCAATCATATATAAAAAATATATGATTGCACCTGAACTGTTGGAGTTTCCTGTACTAATTTTTAACTTAATCTCTATTAAAGAATAAACCATAATCTCTGTCCCACAGTGCTCTCTCTGTTTCTCGTCAGATAAACCCAGCATATCAAGGCCCTCTGGCGGTGTCGTATCTGTGATTAGGGGTGATGAGCTGGTCCTGAACTGTTCAGCACATGGTAATCCCAGTCCTCAGTACACCTGGAGCTCACCTGGAAACATGAACCTCATGAACTCCTCCATCCTCATCATCAGTACTGTCGGGTCAGAAGATCAGGGTCAATACAGCTGCACTGCCTACAACGACAAAGGCTCTGATTCTGTGACTGTGAGGGTTAACGTTGTAGGTGAGTGTAAAGATCGTGTAACCACTGTATGTGTAGATCTAATCTGTGAAAGTGAAGCTGATGTTCTGTTCCTTTGTGTCTTCTTCAGTGGACTACAAGCTGATCATCATCGCTATCTGTGCTGTAGTTACTGTGGTGTTGATAATTGGATTTTCCTTTTGGTGTTATCAACGCACCCAGAACATCCGGAGGAACCATGCTAACCTACTCGCAGCCTCAGACGCTCCACCTACAGACTCTCTGAAAGACACTGCATGCTAAGAGGGCCACATCTAGCAGTTAAGCCTCTCTTTGGCTGTTCAAACCTCAGTGTTAATGCAGTTCTGTGTACTGGTTTATTGTCCAATGGGAAACAATGTTTGTCAAGCTAAATAACACAGCATTTCTCTGTGGCTACAGAGGTGTAGTAAACCACTGGGTGCAGTTTTGTTTTAGCACTGTTTTAACAATCAGTTGGTTCACATATCAAATTTTCTCATCTCATCCATGTACACTGATGAAGCGAGAAGTCTGACTTCTGACTACTGTATTTAATTCTAACTCTGACTCCATTGTGGCTGATGCTAACCCTGACCCTACTGAAAGTAACATTAACCTTAACTCTACTGTTTCAAGATCAAGAATAGTTCTAAACTTTTTATAACTGTTCAAAGGCATAAAACAGGATCCTCACAGGATCCAGTGCCAATACCTACATTCCTGCACTTAATATCAAACCTATCCTAATTGTACCTGATGCCAATCCTGATTCTACTGTATCTATTGCCAATCCTGATTCTACTGCATCTAATGCTAACGCTGACCCTACTTTATCTACTAATGCAAACCCTGACCCTACTTTGTCTATGCCTCACCTTGACTCTACTGTACCTAATTCTAACACTGACTCTACTGTATCTACTAATGCTAACCCTGACTTTACTGTACCTAATGCTAACACTGACTCTACTATACCTAATTCTAACACTGACTCTACTATTGGGTCGCCACCACCAAACTAAGGGTATGGGCCAATTGGGAGGGCGAAGAGGAGCACAGTGAGGAGTCCCAGAATGCAGTGCACCTCTCACCTGCAGTGCACCTGAGTGTATTTTTAAATGTTTTGCATTTTTATTGAAAAGTTACAAAGTGGTGCTTTGACAAAAAACCTTAGAGCTCATTATTATTAAATATAAGTATTAAATATTAATTTTACAATATATTAGAATTAAAACAATGACAGATATAATAAAACAACATATAAACATGCTTAGAAAAAATGTTTTTTTATATTTTCTTCCTTTGTTTTACTCCACAAATGTATGGTGTCCACATACTTTTTTAATAAAAGTGATTTTTATGTAAAATGATAAAAATCATTTTTTTATAAAAATTATTTTAAAAAATCTGAAAACAATTTCTAATAATTCATATATGAAAAGGTTAAATTGTTGAATGTGTTCCATGTTGTTTGTTAGTTTGTGTTATGTCATAATTGTGTTTGTGTGATTTTATAGTTAACAATGCGTTTGAAGTGTTCACCATCTATGTGTTGTGCTTTTCTGTTGGTGATTCTTCCCCATTAGTGTCAGGTTGCTTTCTGTTGTAACAATATTCACTTTAAAGTCACTTCATTTTCCTGAAGCAGGAAATCACATTCTTTGGGTCTTCAGCTGTGCAGGTGTAACATCAGTGCCAGAAGTGGGATGTGGCCACCAAGCTTAAAGAAATCATTGGTTAGTGTTGTTGGTAACACGACTGACCTCCTTGCGGTACACTGAGGTTCGATCTTCCACCTGGGCAAGCACCCTGCACAATACCAATAAGAATACTTGGGCAAGACTCCTAATGCTACCTTCACCTACTTTTGTAAACTGTATATTGTTCTAGATAAGAGCACCTGCGAAATGCTGTAAATGTAAATTGAGAGACACATCAACAAACTTGAAGCTGGGCAGCAAAGACGTAGTCGGAGGAAGAGAGTATTGTGTGCTATGTGTGGCCAGCGGCCTCCTCGAACCATCCGCCGGGACTGTTTTCCCGAGCCATCACGACCATAGGCAGCTCTCCAAGGTGCTGAAGGTGCCTGGCTCCTACTGATTGCCTCAGCTGCAACCCCTACACCAGACAGGGCCACTGCCATAAAAGATCAGCTGAAAGCTTAGTCTGGTGAGTGACGCTGGAGACTCTACGAGACAAGAGAGCTAACGCCTGTTTTTTTCCCTTTTCCCGGCCTTTTATTTCTCGCTCAACCGCGAGCACCCCACATATGCCTGCCCCCTCCCGGATGTGCTGTCGGGACCAAGGGCTATCCCCTTCAACCCCAGGCCTCCAACATAATGTTATGAATAAAAAAAGAAATCTTTCAATACTGGCTAAACACACTAATAACTGTTCTAAGTTCTCAAAAGATGTCAAAAAGGAAAGAGTCTTCAGACACTGAGTTTGTGGAAGAGGGAAAAAGGCTTCTTCTTTATTTCAGCATCAAGTGGCACAGGGTCTCAAGACCCAACTGCGCAAATGCAGTGTTCCAAACAACAGTTTATCCAATTTATCTGAGGTAGTTTGATATCCCCCGCCTTACGTCTCAAATTTTGATATTAGCTTATTGTGTAATAGGTGCATCTCTCCGTCCATCAATTTGGCCATCGCATGTTGTGCTCAACAGCATAGGTGCCTGGGATACTCCAACCGTACTCCACACCATGGCAAGTGGTGACCTGGCATCATGGCTGGAAGGCAGCTGTCTCTGTGATGCAGATATCTTTGGCACTGGACGAGAAAGCACTACACTATTACTGCTTGTACATCTGCCATCAGAACAAAATGATGACCTAGTGTTGACCACAGCCCCCACAGCGATGTTTCAGGCAGGTTGTGGCAGCTCCCTGAGAGGTAGAGGTTAATAGGAAAGATGATGTGTGCTGACGGTGGGGCTGAGCGTGATAATTTGACAGGCATACCTGGCATTCAAAAAGGCTGTACAGGAAGAGTTGGCGCTGGAACACTTCCTGAACGTGCTGTAGCTTGTCACACCGGCCAACCTTCAAGCAGCTGCCACCAAAGCAGAGAGCACAGAACTCATCCTCAGCTTAAAGATGTGGCAGCGAGCAACACAGTGCTACATGGTGGAGCAGCTGTAGGTCATGCAGGAAAAGGAGACACTGCAACAGTCAATGCTGCACACCTGAGCCAGCAGGAAATGGGAGCAGGGCTGCTAAGTGAGAGAATGTACCCCGGATAGAACGACCCTCAGAGTCAACGGCACAGCCAGGAAGATCAGCTGCTACCGTAGACTTTAGATCAAATGCAGCACAGACAGGAACAGCTACCTGCCTTCATGTTACAGGCTCATCAAAGTTAGTGCTATTACCACATTGCACCATGTGTGGAGGAGTCAGTGCCTGGGAAATGTGTGGCAAATGCTGGTGCTGTAGAGCTTGAGGAAGACGGTGCTGAGTGCAGTGCATGAGGCAGTTGGCATTGGACATTTTGGAGTGGGCAAGATGCTGAAGCAGTTGAGGTTCTACTTGATGGGCTGGCACATGGATGTGGAGCTGTATGTGCCTCGCTGCAACCAGTGCATGGCAAAGAAGGGGCTACTGCAGCAGTTGCATGCATCGTGGATGTCCTAGGCCCTTTTCCCACCACTGATGCTGGGAACTGCTATACTATGTCCTGGCCATGGATTATTTCACTAAATGGGCTTAGGTATCCACCAGAGTGTGGCCGGAGCAACTAGTTGAGGAATTCTTCTGTCAGAACGAGCTCCAAGATGAATTTATCTAAAGCATCTAATGCTAACTTTGACTGTACTGTATCTAATGCTAACTCTGGCTCTACTGTATCTAATGCTAACCCTGATTCTACTGCGGCTAATGCTAACCCTGACTCTGCTGTATCTAATGCTGACCCTGACTCTACTGTATCTAATGCTAACCCTGACTCTACTGTATCTAATGCTAACCCTGACTCTACTGTATCTAATGCTAACCCTGACTCTACTGCAGCTAAGAAACTTTAGATGCTGAAGGCTACTGTAATCAGGGGCTGCATCGAAACAAGCAAGATGGAGAGATTTAACTTGGTTTCTGGTTTAAGTGGCATCATCTTTATAGCCCTTTGCCATCTTTCTTATGGCTGTGTTGTCTGCAGCTCAGAAATGCTGGGCAGGACGAGCAGTGGCCACCTAATGAGGGCTGAAATCAAACAGATCAGACAGCTCTGGAGTTTATTGTGCAGAGACATTTTTAAACCAGCTTTGATCAGCGTTTCAGAGGGTTGAAAATAACTTTCAAAAAGCTCTGTGCTGCGATTGGGCCCTCTGTAGAATTCATGCAATCATGTGACTTCATATATTATCATGTACTACTTCATCCTAATTTAAAACTTTTTGTGTTTTTTTGGGTTTTTTTTCAGAATTTCTGGCTTTTTCAAAATGTGCAAAAAAACAGTGGATGGAGAACCCGCCTATAAATGCTATGAAACTTGCAGTGGGTCAGTCTGTGAATTATAAATCGTGTGTATGGCAGAATGAGGCTTAACTGCTCATTCTCACCTATCAACCAAATTTACTGATCAGTTTTTGAACAGAGAATTTGTTTCCACCCATATTTAATGTACAGACTGCCTTGTATTTGCTAATCTAAGCAAAATCAAACTAAATGCAGTTACACAAAACTAATTTACATTTCTGTAACATTCTGTTAATAAAATGTTTATCTACTGTGTTTTTCCAGGATCCAAATAGGCTGTAAGATAACTGCAGTTACTGCAGTAGTTAATGCTAACTCATGAACCCACTGTAGGTAATGCTAACTCCTGGTCTGTACGTAATGTCACATTAAACTAAAACTGATAAAACAAATGAGCTTAACAACGAGTATTCCACCACATTCTTTTAGCTTGCAATATTTAAAAAAATAGCACAAAAATATTTACTAATTTGAACAACTAACTGAACATAACATGTTATCCAGTCCAAAACACTGATGGATGTCAGATATTTTTAAAGGATTAATTAGGATTAATCACAGAGCACAGTCAGCATGTCTCACCTTCAAGGAAGCACACAGTACTGTGCTTTCCTTGTTGAGCACCAACACTAAAACAGAGAAACAATGTGTAGTGTGTATACTGCCACCTGATGACCAGAACTAGTAACAACAGAACATCACATTTCTACAAACAAAAATAATAATAAAATGATCAAACCAAAACAAACAAAACATTGTTTGTGTTGTGTGTCACTTATGTGCATCTATTGTGTATGTGTGTTTTCTGTGTAGTGTATTTGGCCTTAGCTTTTTGCCAAATAATGCGCCCTCTCTCTATTTTCTCCTGAGCTGTTTTGCTGTCCACTGCACGTATCTCTAGGGATAGCTTGTGAGGGGCACGCCTCTCTCGGACAGGATACCTTCTCTGGGACATGGCTAGGGGACTGATGGCAGCTTCTGTCGCTGGATTGTCTCCCGAACTGAAAATCCCTAACTCTGGTCTTTCGATCATAGTATTTTTTCTTAGCCTTCCTGGACAAGTGGTTCGCCTGATCATATGCCAAAGTGAGGCATTCACGCAGATCTCTAAAATAGTCTGTGTACTCACAAGCACCATTGGTAGATGACAGCCCAAACATCAGATCAACTGGCAGTCTTGGATGCCTCCCAAACATCAGAAAAAATGGGCTGTAACCAGTGGAGTCATGGACTGAGCAGTTGTAGGCATGTGTCATTGCATCCACATATTCAGGCCATTGAGACTTTAAGTGTGGTGGCAGAGTGCCAAGCATGTTCATCAGTGTCCTTTTGAATCTCTCAGTGGTGCCATTACCTTGCGGGTGATATGGGGTTGTGTGAACTTTCTGCACTCCTCCAATCTGAAACTCTTTCACCACTGCACTTTCAAAGTTCCTCCCCTGATCTGACAATCTGACAGGAAATCCAAATTTACAGAAAAAGCTTCTCCACAGTACTTTGGCCACAGTACTTGCCTTTTGGTTCTTTGTGGGGTACGATTGGCAGAACCGCGAAAAATGGTCTGTGACCACGAGTACACTCTCTACACCACCTCTGGATTTTTCAAGTGTCAGAAAGTCCATAAAGACTAACTCCATAGGAGCACTGGTATGGATGCCGTTCAGCGGAGCCCTCAGGCCAGAAACAGGAGTTTTCCTGAGGCAGCACCTCTTGCATTGTTCACACCACACTTTAATGTCCTTAAACATCTGTGGCCAATAAAATAGCTCTCTAATTAATGTGAATGTCC